ACCTCTTGTGTACTGGTCACTCACTTTTATATTGAATTCACATTCATTCAGCACCTATTCAAACAATCCATTCATCTCCACTGAAATCTATCATATTCTTTTCTTTCTCCTAGTTTCAGAGATACCAAACATTCTTTTCTTCTCATTTCGGTTTTTAATCCATGCCATTTAACAATGATTCCTCTTATATTTCAAGTCACAATGTTCTACATGGCACCAGATGGACCTATAGATTTTGACCTCCACTGCCTATCATGGCTTTGGTCAATTAAGGCTTTCACATAATGCATTTCACTAAGAGAGATAACATGTAGACTAGGTAACCTGTCTTAGTTGCATCTGTGCTCATGTAGCATTACCTACTACCAATTAGGATAGTACTGCTTAGTTTGTGAATATTTTGGCCATATGATGCTACATAAACAACCAAGCTCAGTTTTGCCCCAGGCATGCTCTCATTATTTATGCAAGCTAATTTCTCATTTTAACATTAATCACATGTTAAGTTAAACTACAATAATATGAGTTTTTTTGAGGAACCTATTCAATTTTTTACTCAATTTCGAATTAAAAAGTCTGTTCTTAGTTCCCAGGTTCTCACCAAAACATATCCTACCCTCACCCCCCTGGTGTACTGATTGAATGTTACCCCCCGGTGCCTTCTATGAATGTTACCAACATGAGTTGCATAATACCATAAATATACTAAAATACAATCATCAACAAGCATTGTAGTAATTATTAGCAGCAAATTATATGGGACTATTCGAGATACATAACTTAATATATCCCATATTATATTACTTCTACTGTAGATATAACTGTATTTACAGTTTCAGATTTGGCAGTGTAGTGTAGCAGCAGGGATAGAGCCACTGGAGTTTTTGGAATCAGGAGGCATTTCAAATCAGATGGAGGTGGAGGTAGTCATGGGATTCTCAGTGGCTGCAAACCTTTGAGATGAGTGGCTGTGTTGATGGTGAGCTAAAGAAGCCCAACCTCAGTATTCTGGACATTGTGGGCCCCCAGAAGTTGCTGCCGAGCAGCAAGAGGAATGAGAGCAGCTTTTAGGCATGTTATGAGGATGGCCTGAGTCCTACAGCTGTTGTGGGGCTTGTCACATGGAATATCACCCATCCTGTCCTCCCTATGCAGCTCCTGACTCCAAGGGGACAGAATGGGTGTCTTGGGTACTCTTCATAGGCAAGATTCTCTGGTGTTTCTTCATAGTTATGGCCAAAAGACTGGGGTGTGGAAAGGGAGAGACTTTTGGTCTTTGGACAGAGTGCATTACTTTGGATGCTTTGGGGAAAACTTTGGTGCTATTTAAAGTGTATGATTTTTCTTTTAAACTTTCCCCTTTGTTCCACAGTTATGCAGTACAGAGAAACAGTAGGCATTCTATATTATGTTTGGCTTGATTTATGGCAGGGGTAGAAATATGCAACTTGCAGGTCACAGGCAGAACCTTTTTCTTAGGAAATTTATACTTTCATATTTTTTTCCCCTCTTGCCTTTATCTTTATCATCTGTCTATGCACTTTTCTTTCTGACTCTCATGATTTCTAAAGTTGGTTCATAATGTCCGAATAACATCTTTATTCTGGAATATGTAAAAAAAACCCTGCATCCTGCAGTGAAGCTGACAGTCTTTCCATGCAAACAAAATTAATCTCAGTCTCTTAGTGTATGCAAATTTCATACAGCTTTACTATACTGGGTCAAAGTATTTGCTCCTTTATGAGAATATATAAACCTCTATTCTCAATGTGGCTAAGCAGTGCAGGACAGATAAAACCTTTCTGGGTAAAATTCTTCATTACTGAAAAGGTCTGAAGGATGCTAGGGGAAAGGGGTCACAGCCAGCATGTGGGAAAACTTTCTAATCTGTGGGGCATCCAATCACAAGCAAGCATTTCCTTACAGGATGTCTGGTTAAATTCTTTGTGACTATAGCCTAAGTAAATGGTTGACATTCAAAAAGATGTCTGGATTTATTTTATTTATTTATTCATTCAAATTTGATGCCACTTGACTCCACATGACTCTAGGTGGCTCACAACAATAAGAGTAACATAAAAAAAAAATTAACTGGAACAAGTACAAAAATAGGTACAAAATAATTACAAGATGGCAATCCAAGTAACACACCATAAATAAAATAAATCCTTTCACCTAACAAGATGGAAGGGAACAGGACAGGAAAGAATCTGAGAAATAAAGAAGCTAAAATGACGCTTGTCTCCTAAACTTTCTTTAAAGTCTAAAGAAAAATATACTGATTAGTACAGTACATATTGTACAGTATGTACAATATCCAAGAGAGGGCAGAAGACAGAGGCAGCTTTCATTATTCATGGTTTTGTGTTTCCATGATTGTTAAAAAAAAGACCAGACCTCAGGAAATTCAGTAAAGGTTTTTACCTATTTGCAGTTTGGGGCCTTGGTTTTTGTTACTTTATATGAGCACCAAATGGCAGACAGGCTTTTGCATCCTTGATATCCTTCTGGAAGTCCCTTAAAACTTGGTTATGTCAACAGGCTTGGGGGTCTCATGGAAATGGGGATTTAATGAAGTGGCTACATTGCATGTAACATCTAATGCTCTCCCTAGTCCTTCTAGCTTTTTATAGTAATAATATTAACGTTTTAATTGTAGAGTGTTTTTGTAATGACTGTTTTTATGGTTTTATTGTACACTGCCCAGAGTCTTGTTTCTGAGAGATGGGCAGCATATAAATAAATAAATAAATACATACATACATACATAAATAAACAAACAAACAAGTCTTTTTTCTAAAAAGGTCTCATTATGTATGATTTCATTATCCATGGTTGTGAAGTAGGAACAGGATCCCCATGTATAATAAGGGCTGCCTCACCCCCTTCCTCACAGTATTTTTAATCCATCTACACACACACACAAATATGATTATTGACTAGTGTTAAGTTCAACAAAACATACAGTTTAAAACAGTAGATCAAAATTTCATTGATACTATTCTCATTGCATTTACAAAATGTCTAATACTTACATCCAATAAGCTCATGTAAAACTAACATACAAACACATCAAACATAGAGCATTTTAGGCAAAACTGCTCAAGAGCTGAAAAATGGAATAAGCAGGAATCAAAAAAATATGCTTTCCTAAGTACCAAAAAGACTGAATTTCTGATTTTGTTGTTAAAAAAATCAAGAGTCTGGTAGCACCTTTTCTAAAAAATTTTATTAAAAGGCATAAGCTTTCGTGAGCTGGAGCTCACTTCATCTGATACATAGAGTGGCTAGACTGAGGTAGGATTTAAATTGGGAAGGGGTGAAGAGGAAAGCTGGGGGGAAGGGGAGGGGAACAAAGGTTGGCTGTGAAGGTTATATATGAGAAAGATTACAAGTACCTTATCAATTAATCAATATGTTAAAAAACCCACTCTGTTTGTTGAGATCGTCTGAGATTGCCTGAAATCTTTTGATGCATGCGAGTTCAATGATTTCTCACTTGATGGTGGTGTTAAAATTCTGCTTTTCTAAAACACTCACTTTGAAGTCTGCTACTGAATATCCTGGGAGACTGAAATACTCTTTTTGTCCTTGTTCTGAGTCCTGATGTCAAACTTGTGCAGTCCTATGTAGAATCTAGAGGGACACTGCTGGCAGATGATGGCATATATCACACTGGACGAAGACTACATGAAGGTGCCTCTAATCTTATGTGTGTGTACTTGTTGAGGCCTGTGATGGTGCTGTTGGTGTAGATGTAGGGAAAGTAGACATCTGGGTTTCTTGCAGGATCTGGTTCCCATGTTGGCATCATTGTCCTATTGTTTCTTGTTGCTCATGAGAATCTGCTTCAGATTGGATGCTGTCTGTATGCAAGTATGGGCCTGCCCATCCATTTCCTGAGAAAGTGCAGTGTCATTGTCCAATATGGCCTGTAGCTTATTAATAATGTGTTTGAGCAGTTTGAACTGTGAAATGTAGGTGACAACCAGTGGTGTTCTTTTCTGTTTCTGCAGTCTGGCTTTTAATAGGTTCTCCCCGGGAACTTATCTGGTTTTATTGATTTGTCTATTGTTCTTTTGGGGTAGGTAATTCAGTCTCCTGGATGCCTGGTTTAATTCCATTAGCTGAGCACCTCTGCCAAGTGGATCAAAACAAATGCAGTTGTAATGTACAGCTAGTTCCAATGCTTGAGACAAGGGGATGGGCTGGGTTACCTGGTTTCTATGTTT